ATGTAAAAGGCAACACGGTATCTTTCGAGGTGGCGTGTCTTAATTCGACAAAAGACACAAGGTTCGAAGCAAGTTTCGATCTGCAAAGGTGCAAAATGTTCCCTCAAGGGATGGTCTTGCAATTTGTCGCGAGAGCTCGTTGTTGTGAAGCAGGAGGAAGCGGGTACGGTCAGATTTTCGCCTTCATGCTCCTCAGCAAGCGCAAGTGCATTGACCACGACCAGTCGCAAGTCGATGTCGTGAGCGTCAGCAGCCAAAGGTGCACGCAAGGCCGGCTTGTCATTCCACCTTGTAGAAGTTGGTCAGCAGTTGGCATGTCAGATCCAACATGGTTCAAAAGCCAAAGGGAGGCGTTCTTGACGGCACGCTGCTGCAGTGTCATCAGCAGCTTCGTTGCCTGGAAGTGTTTGGTGGGCATGGACGTGGTGTCCCTTCAATATGCCGGAAACTCGCGCTGGAAGGAGGCTCAAGCCACTGTCAGGGTATGAGAAGAGCAAATGCTGCCTGTAGGAAGACGTGCTGACAAGGGTGGGCAGAGCGTCAGGCCGCGCCTGCAACAGCCAAAATAAACTCTACGCAACATAGCACCTGTTTCTGCCTCAATCGGATGATGTGTCGGGCCTCCAATGTAGTGTTGATTGGACATGATTGGACTGATTGAAGTAGATGAAGGCAGAAATGGGCGCAGTTGCACCGATCCTTGAATTGCGCAATCGCAAAGAATGACCATCCGATGAGGAGCGGTCATGATCTGCATTTCCATTGGAATAGATGCGCCAACGTGCGCACGTCCAATCGTCATGGAAATTCTCCGACGTAGCCTGGAGTGTTGTCACAGGTGCCAAGCATTGATCACAGTGGTGTATGAAGGACGTCAGGAGTGTTTCACACTGCGAAAAATGCATCAGCAAGGTGCCCTACAGGTCGTGGTGGCGCATGCTGAAGGAGGCACACGCTGACAATCAGCATAGATATCCACGATGTCACCGCGTTGAGCAATGGTGCACCCTCTTTGGGGCCCACGAATTGCGCCAGTTGCTCTACTATTTGAGGTGAAGGACGTGGAGGTACCATCAGCGCTTCAACTTGACTGGTTGATTGCCTGGGGAAGGGCGCGCACGCAAATCGGGATGTGGCCCTGTTTCATCACGTTAAGCATCACCATGATGTGAGCAGCATCAGGCGAGTTGAAGAGCTGGCCATGTGGACATCAAAAAGGCGAATCAGTAGTGGCGCGAAATCTCTGAGCGCCAGGGTGCAGGAATGCCAACAGATGTAAAGCGACCTGCAATATACAATCATGTGCAAGGCATTCAGGTAATACACCTGAATGCACTCAACGGTCTCACATTTCGACTGACCGTTGTACAATCAGCAAAGTCCAAGGATGGCTGTAGATCAAGTCTACCACAAAAAAGAAAGTGCTAAACAGCTGTCATTCTTTCCAGAAACGTCAACTGAAGTCGATCTTGGCTGCCTTTGACGGTCCATTTGCTCAGGATAAAGTGAGAATCTGCCAGTTCCCAGAAGTGATGAAACCTTTCCCAACAAGTCCAATCTTCAAGACGTTCTTCAAACCGTCTTTGAGGCGTTGATATATGTTGATATTCTCCAGAGTTGAACTCGTCAAAGATGTTGCTGTACTGCAAGTGGAAGTTGGCCTGTGCAACACCAAGAGAAGAACTGCAACGAAGTGAGAGCATCACGAGAGTGGTTGGCGATTGAAGCCATGGTGAACTCATCAAGTTCAGCAACAGAAGTGTGAAGGAAGCAGACATCTGGAGCCCTGAATCTGATGACGTTGGCAAGGAAGGCGCAATGTCTGCTGACACGCAGAGGCTCAGAACAGCAGATGAGGAAGCTCTTCGAGCAGGAGGAGGACGACAGTGGCGTGACAAAACTGTGACCACACTACTCCCTTTAGCTTCGAAAGGGGTGTGTAATATAGGTTTTCGTACGCGTCACCAATCAATTCTCTGATCCTGGCCGATTCCCAGAACGCGGACTGCAAGTAGACCTCAACATTGCGCCATGCGAAGCCGGAGGAGAGCCAGCATTACTTTCATTCCCGCAAGGCCAAGGTGCACAGCCAAATAAAACAAACAAGGACTGAACAGATTTGCACAGGTATGTCCGCTGCAAAGGCTAAAGTTTATGTATGAGGTAGGAGAAGGAGGATCAGAAGAACTGAACAACACAGCTCAGAAGTCCAGCACTGATCCAAACCATGCTCTGCACAAAATTTGATGTCATCGCTGAGAACAAACTCCGTGTAGTCGAACTGAGATGAGTCGAACCTGTCCTCCTTCGACTCCTTCTTGAACCTTCTAGCTGCTTCCTCGAGACCTCTCTCAACAAATTGCTATATAAGTGTCTGCTTTGATTGTTGCAGCCAAGTATAGCCCTAAAAAGCCCTAAGTAAAAGAACTAAGACATACTGTGCAAAACTAGATAGAACATGATAAAACAATGAAAAGCTAAGTTTAGCTGCTTTTTCCTAAGTTAAGCTGAGGCAATAGATAAGAGCAGCAGACTCTCACGCAACAAGCTTCATGCCAACACAGCCCCACAGCAAAGCCAACTCAGCACAAACAACAAACTACACCACACCAACATTAGACAAACAGCACTGCACAAAGCAAACGCTGCCTAAAACAAAATGGTTTCTTAAACCCTTGTTTATGTCATGTTAAGCAGGCTAAACTAAACCCATTCACACACACAACCCATAGATAAATTACCACACACTACAATTCCCAATGACGTCAAGAAACATTGTAAAGTAGCAGGCTAGCATCTAACAAAGTAAAAAGACAGCAACTACCCCATGGCAAAGCACAAAGTTAGTAGACATTGCAGCACAAACACAACATAACTACCAATGTTAGGGCACCACAAAGTAGAAGGGCAGCAGCCACACATTGTAGACATAGCACAAACATCTCAAAACAGTTACCAATGACAAGACTTACTGCAAAAGAACAAGCTAGCATATGACAAAGTAAAATGGAAAGCAGCCACCTCCATGGTAGTGAAGAAGCTAGCATATCTTAGCCTGTCTTAGGGCTATATGTTTCTCCTTTCACCACCTTGTAGCAGCCATTTATGTAGCAGCCACGCATGGTTTTGAAAGAGCTTTGTTGAATGGAGCTTCAGCAGATTTAGCAGCGTTCATAGTCTGTATTGAAGAATGGTTTCGTCCAGATGTCAGTGCACCTTTTTGCAAGGTTGACAGCCATTCAGCAATTAATATATGTTGGAAAGCTCTCAAGACCTAGCAGAAGCAGATCAGTTTTATATCCCAGAAGTTGTCATGTTTTAAAACTCCAACCTCAGTACCAGGAAAAAATCCACTTTTTAAGAAGGCACCAAATCCCTCACCTATCTTGATTCTCCATATATTTTTGGTATCCTGCACTTTCTACCAGATCTCGGTATTATTACCGTTACTTTCTATACATCTTTCTACCACCATGGAAGATGGAAAATCTTAGTCGGCGAATCGAATTGGGCAAAATGTACGACAGAAATCTCTGCGCGCGCTCTCTCTCTCTCTCTCTCTCTCTGTCTCTTATCTTGCTGCTTGTCTCTTTTCATTTCTTTTCAATCTGTTCACTTCTTTTACATTAACGAGGACGAGGACAACAAGGTGATGATGCTCATCTTGATGTTAGGTCCCTGATGCGGGAAACCTACCAAGAATCGGTCCCTTGGGTCCCCAAAAGAGCAAAACCTCTTGTCCCAGGCGATGGTTCTTGGTGCCAGCACCTTCAAAGGGGTCACCTGGCTGGAAGCCCCTACACCACTAAGGGACCTCCAGACAGGACACCCCTTTTTCAGGTCCAGGTATGTAAATTAGCACCCGGCATTGACTAGACTTAACCGAGCAGCAAAAGCTTCACCACCGCGATGCGATTGGCACCAATCGCATAGCCCAAGGCAGTGATGCCCTTGAAGTCCTGGTGCCGCAACAGTCCGAACACTCCCAACATCTCCCAACAGATCGGTCGTGAGTCGGCTTCGTCGTCGTCGGCTTCGTCGGTTTTCGTCGTCTCCGCGGGGTGAGGTTCCGTCGAAGTGGACACACCGGGAGGTCCGCATTGTTCGTTGGAGCCGAGACAGCGAGGACCTGCCTGACTGTCCAACGGCTTCTTTTTGTCCAAGAAGGTCTTGACCGCCTCGGCATCGACGGCCGATGTCCGCGCGCGGGCGAAGTCTGAAGAAAGCGAATCCGGGCGGTGAACGGACGTGTGTCCTCCAAGGGGTCGAAGCCCGATCTCGTTCCCGGTGGTTTCTGGGCACCAAGTGAACGGAGTTCCGGAAACGAACGCCGGAGGGTTCGAGGGTCCAGATCCACTTGCATTGTGAAACCTCATCTTCGTAATTCGTGCCATGCGGGATTGACAGAGTAGTTACACCCGGGAAGATTAACGTGGAACCCGAACATGCACCTTTGGAAGACCATTTTCCTCTACAACTCCGTGGTTTTCAGGTTCCATGTTAATTGTCCAGAGTATAGTTATATAATGTTATATACTAATTACGCAGGTGCCAGTGGGATCGTGTGGGATGCGCGCTGCCCAGATCGAGATGAACCACACGATGCGGACGGATCCAGACCTGCAGCGACGTGGGTTCCACCGCAGCGACGTCCGGATCAGTTCGGTGTCTCAAAGTGATTCCCAAGGATTCGCCTTGGGAATGGTCAGTAAGGGTGAGACGAGTTGAAGAACTTCCTTTACTTCAAGAAAAAGAGTAGCCACATGTCGGGGTGCGATCCATGGAGTTTTTTCGGGGTGCCCAGCTACTCCACTCACTTGGGGGTTATCAAACACCACCCCCTTTTTGTGACTGCTGGTTTTGGAGTTTAGTTGTGATGTATTTGTTTGATCCAAATAGTCCTTGGACTTCGAGGACTTCTCCGTCCCTCGCGGCTCCCACGGACGCACCCGCCACTGAGCCAGGGCCGAGCAGCGTTGAGATCGCCCCTCTTGGCCGCTTCATGCAGGGTCATGGCGGTGTCCTGTTTCGGAATGCACCATGGATGCCAGTACTAGTTGTACTACAATACAGCATGAAAAGATCACAGAAACGCGAACCAGCGTGAAGCCAGCGTGAACCAGAATACTAAGCGACCGATAGGTGTGTCGACCGCGGACGGCGGCAGGTGAAGACGGTCCGGTGAGGTCTGAGACGTGAATGGACGTCGACGTGACCGGTGGCGCACGAAGTGAAGAGGAAAGATGTCAGCTGTTCTCACTCTACTAGCTCTATAGCTTATTTGGGATTGTGCCATCTCCTCTGCCAATGGACATATCTGGAGAATAGAAGATTGCGACACATTGCGACTGACTACTTACTGCAGCTGTCCACAGCAGAAAAAGACCAGAGAATAAGCAGACCCGAAGACCCTGTGCTCTGGCTGTTTATGTCCCAAGTGACGTGGCCGGTCCTGGAGAATAAAGACAAAACGACCAGTTCGCATATAGCTCATGGGTCAAAACCCAGGCCCCTAATCCCTGGTAGTATACATTGCTTCTCTAGGTCTATTCCGTTGTGTAGAAAAAAAACAAAAAAAAGGTACAGATCAACCCCCGTGGGTCTCAAGTGGGGTACCGTTAGACTCTGAAGTCTCTGATCTCTGGTGCTTTCCTTGGTCTCTGGTCTCTTTCGCCCCCCCTCCGTTCCTCCCGATGTTCGAGTCACGAGTCACGAAACAACCACGTTGGCGTCCAAGCACGTCGCGTTTGCGGTCTCGATGCAACGTGGGGAGACCGGTCGACCGGTCCGCTTCGCTCCAGCGCACGGTTGCTGCGCGGTCCTCGATCTTCTGCAAGACCTGAGGGGTCCATAGCTTTTGGACCAACTTGTTGGACACACACCGCAGCATTTGGACAAGACAGAAGGTCCTGGTGGTCAAGAGAGTCTGTGGACTTTTTTCACTGGGTCAACCTTTCTTGGTCAACACCTGTGAAAAAGAGTTGAAACACCTTCCCCCCCATCCTCCAAACATCCCCAAAAGCAGCCGTTGGCTTCGCGAAGACGTTGGACATCGATGGTGGTCCGTCTGTCTCCATGTGGCTCTCCACCCACCCCACGGGCGTTTTAGACGAAGAGTGGACCCGGTTCACCTGAATCGACGTGAATCGTGTTTGGCCCCGGGGAGTCTGAAGGACAAGTGAACGACACGAAGAAATAGCTCATGCCAAGAGAGGTTGAACAGCGTAGCCCATCCCATATATACCATTATATACCACTACAGGGTCCTATATGGTCTCTCAACCTCTCTTGGTGATTTGAGTGCTTTTGCTTGGGGTCGAAGGGGTTTTTAGAGAGTCCGCAGGGTGAAGTCTTCACACGGCGTGTCGGACGGATCTTTTTGTTCAGAGGGGCGACCCCAACGGCAAAACCAGAAGTGGGTCGGTCCACCAAAAACATGGTCAAGTGGGGTCCAACTAGGATGATTGTTGGGTGGTTGGATATCTCCATCACCAGGATCAACAGGTTTCAGTGGATGATGGGTTGCAGGCCTTTCCATCTCAAGAATAGCGATGTTCTCTTGGAAACCCTTCCTGTTGCTGAGAACATCTTGAGAACCCCACCCCTTCGCCCGAGGCGCCGCGCCACCCAAGTCAGCCCAAGGGACCGGAGACAGCTCGCTGGGCAGTCCGCCCATCTTCTGGCTGATCTTCAACCTCAGATGCTTGGATGAAGCCTCTATAAACATCTTCCCCATGCAGGTCAGGGGGATTCACCAAGGCACCGGTTGATTTTTCGAAATCACCCTTCAGAATCCGCCCCAAACCATCCAACACCACGTGCCGCGAACCCTTGCACGCGCACCTTGGGGAGTCGCCATGGCGGCGGTCCGTTCAGGAGGGATGAAGGGGATCTCGCGGACCCAGGCTGGATGATAGTTCAATTCGCGCATGATCATGAAGGGGTAGAACACCATCCCAACTGGGGGATGTTCTTTTTGTAATCAAGTAGAGTCTACCATATTTTAAAAAATAAAGATAAACATAATAATGATAAACTAAGGTGAAAGAAGAGATGCAACCAACCCATCACCAACCACTCGAGCCGCATGATCTCCTCATCCTGGTAGTACTTCATGGCAGCCTTCGTCCATCGGTGAACGACCCAAGACATGGGATGTTTTCTTCACTGAAGACATGAGTAAGGGGCGCCTATAACCTTCAAACAACGCCTATAACCTTCCACGCCTTTATAGGATCCGATCCCATGGTATACGGTCAATGCAGAATGATGGCAACATGAACATCATGAAGAAGCAATTCAGACAATGCATTGAGGCATCGATCAAATTTGCTATTCTCCTGGTCGGGACTCATCTGATGTTTAAACAAGTCCATCAGTTTGACCTGAAAGCCAGGGTTGTTTGACAGTTGATAGTTCCTTGTTATTTGACAGAAAACCCCTCTGTGGCGGAACACATGTTGGATTGAAGCAAACACACAAAAAAAGGATAAGTAAACAATCTTCCATTTGTCTCTAGCTATTGTTTTCAGACCAATTCTTTCCTTCCTCTGGAGGTGGGGCTGCCTCCATGCCGTTCTTCTTGATGTCTTCGAAGATCGGAGCCAACTCCTTGGTGGGAGGCATCCGAGAACAGGGAATACCAGGACACCGGGATGCCTAGCTACACACATTCCCCTCCCCGAGATTGCCAAAATCCCCTCCCCTTCTTCTGTCAGATCTCTCTCCCAAAGAAAAAAGAAGCACCAGCACCACCCACCCTTCTTCCCCCGCTTGGATTTCATCCCCCAGAAAAAAGACTCCACCCAGCCGAATCCACGCAAAACTGCCATCTTGCGGTTCGCGGTTCCGAAACCCCTGCAAAAAGAGAGGGAACCTCTTCCCCATGCAGGTCAGGGGATGTACATCAGGTACTACCCTCCTTGAAAAGAATCATGGCAGTGGCGTTCACCGCCGAAATCACCTCTTTGGTCTTCGGATGTCTTCGGGTCCTCCGACCTCCTTGCCAACCAGCTATTCCACGGTTCTGATGAGCTTCAGGGAGTGTCCAGGAGTGGTCCCAGAAGGGGTCCTGCCTTTTGGGGCGTGCAGAAGCGGTACTTATACACCTATTCTCAGAAATCCCAAAAACATCCGCCACCGCCCACCCTGTTTTTCCATCTCTTCCCCTCTGCCTTCAACTTCACCCCCGTCCCCCTCCGTGTCACTCCCGCGTTCCGGACGCGCGAGACCGCTCGCGGCGTTCCTGGGGTCGCGGCGGGATCCGACTCCAAGGACTTCACCTTCTCCTGCACCGGGGTGTCGCCGTGGGACAGCTTGCCTCGGGAGGAATCGACCCCTCGACCCACTCCGACGGTCGAAGAAGCAGCGAGGAAGGGTGGAAGAAAGCGCTCTTAGAGCGGATTCTCAGCAGGGAGTGGGTCGCGTCCTTCGAATGGCGGGATGAATTGAAGAACCATTCACCTATAGTGGTACGGGTCAGGAACTGACCTCATGAAATACTGGACGTTGATCCATGTTGCCCTGCTCTTTTTCGCTTTGAAAAGGACCGGGTTTTGGACCGGTCGTTGGACTTAGAGCGTTTGACGAAGGTAAACCAGGTCAACCATGTTACAAAACTGGAACCTCCAGTGAGCCTTCCACGATGGGCTCGTCCCTTGGGAAAAGTGCGACCCATCTTGCACGTGGAGGTTTTAAGCAACTCTGTTCTCGATCCATGGCCTCGATATCCCTGCGTTTAGTGCTGCGGTCCAAAAACGGATGGCTCAACTGTCAGTTTCTGCGTGTTTCTGCCAGCCCAAGTCAGCTCATCTTTGCTCTTCGAATCCCACGGATCTCTCTCTCTCTCTCTCCCAACTGGTGCTGGGTTGATGGCTCCGGCCCTGCCCAACTGGATCCCCAAAAATACAGCAACTACCACCAGCACACTGGACGGGTCTCCGAAATGGAGGGTTGGGAAGGAGCCCCCAAAAAGAGGTCGAACCCTTGGTGACCTAGCAGGTGAAGGTGCTGGTACCAACACCCTCCCTGCCGGGTGATGAACGGTTGTGCTCGACCCAGCATGTCGCATTTGTCACATCAAGATCCTGTGCAGGATCCACTAAGATCAAGCCCGGAACTGGGGGGTTCTATACAATAAGACAACCTGTTCTATATAAAAAAAAAAAAAAAACATTGTACTATTAAAATATTTAGTTCTTCAGTTCATCTTAGTTCCTTCCTGCCCAATCCATCTGAGAAACTACCCATTTCTTCACTTCAGCACGTCTTCAATCGCCCACGCCACCAAGTGGCTGTTGTAATGCTCGGCAATGGCCTGTGTCTGAAGCCAGCCCCGCATGGCATCCGGATTCTTAGCGAAGTTCTGCAAGGCCTTGAGGCAATGACACTGGACAAGACCTGTGCCCCCGAGCAAGGCAAGTGCCTTGCTCCTAAGACAAAGGGTGCGGAAAACGTGCCAAAACGAGGCCTTCCCTGCGATTGTTCATGGTGCAGATGTGTTTCGCGCATGGTTTTGATGGGATTCTGAATCTTTTTTGGGGGGGCAATGTAGTCCTCCTGAAAATCTGATGTTCTCCAAAATGCAGCGAATGGTTCTTCCTTTGTGGCCAGGTGCATGGGTGTGAGGGATCCCCCCTGTTAGCTGTCTCACTGTTGAAAATCCCTTGTTTCGTGTGGGAAAAAGGTATGTGTTTGCCGATTCCTGTTTGGTCTTGTACTGTAGCGCACCACTTGTTGGCATACTTAATGGACATCCAAATGGCCGACGCCGACACGAACTCGCAAGATTACTGGCCATACTCGAACCACTGAAGCGTTTTCTAGCTACAACAGGACAACATGCAGGGCCTATCTTGCTGTAATCGGAGATAGACCTAGATCCTAGATATCAATCTTGATGTATGTTGTTCGTTGGATTAATTGAACTTTTTGTCAGCTACCCAGCTACTAGGGAGAATGTAGCTGCTACATTCTCCCTAGCCTTCAAGCGACCCTTCCAAGGTTGGGCTCATTTTGTGGTCTAAAATCCTTGGTAAAACCATGGTTGTTCGGGATTCGAACCCTTAAGTTAATGGTGCTTGGAAGCCTTAAAGGTTCGGTATGTGCTACTCTACGTTGGAGGCCCAAAAACTCTGCCTTCGCCATCGACAATGGTGCTTGGAAGCCTTAAAGGTCCGGTATATGCTACTCTACGTTGGAGGCTTATAGGGTTCTCTGCTTCGCCCAACACCGACATCAACTCCGCCTTGGCAGTCTCCGGGTTGCCCTCCACATAGGCCTTCCGACCACGACCGAACCAACAAGCTCTTGAAGTTGAACCCGACTCCGAGGGCCTTTAGTCGAACGCAGTGTGAACGCAGAAACCAAGCGTCAGGACATCGGACCTGCCCACCACCTTTGCAACAGGTGGAGGGCTAGAAGACCCGAGGTGAAACACCTTGGAGACCGAACTGGTCACCAGGTTCCATACCGGATTTGCAAAGTCCAGGTGTTCAAAATCCACTCATCACTCACCCGCTGCGCGCGTTTTTTCCACATCACCGTGATCCTCTACCACGCGATCGGCCTTCACCTCCTGCCAGGTCTCATCATCCAAGTCCGGCAATCGGGTGATCTCCATGCCTCGGCCGATCCAAACCGAACCGAGCCGAGCCGGGAGCCTGGGAGCGGAGCGGAGGGCTGTCGCGGGGGGCCGGTCCGAAGGAACCGAGGTCTCCTATGACCCGAACTAGTCGAAGGTTCGGGTTCTGACCCACCTCTGGAAGGAACGTGAGCTAGCGCCTAGGCCGCCTGCAAGCTACCCTGCGATGGCCTACCTAGCAAAAGGAACCTGCAATGGCACTAGCAATGGCTTGGGAAGAGCGACATCTTTTGAGGAGAGAGGTTTGCGGCGACATCTGGAACTTCTTTCTCCAACTGCTCAATTCCGAGATCCTCGACAGCTCAATTCAGCTGCTTCGCTCAAAAGGGGATCACAAGCTCGCAACCCGCCCCGGTCACCTTCCGTTCAACTATGCTTTAAAATGTTTGAGCTTGTTTTGTAGTCTTAAGTAAAACTGTGGTTGCTCGGTGAAGATTATTCAATTCAAGGGGTACCAAAATAGCTTGTCAGTGCCCAAAAAAGGATGCTGCAGCAGCATGTCAGCTAGGTGTTCACCTCCTTTTCTGCCTGAAGAATGGATGGCGTTTCAATGTGTGTTTTCATGTTCTTTGTTCAAACGCTCGCGATCGAAAGTCGATCCCCATCTATATGTGTTCTGACCAGCGCCCGAAACCTGCGTCACCACTTGCCATTTCAGTCAAACTCGAAGAGCCTGTAGTACAAGTCGGGTGCTGCCAGCCGCCTGGACTCTCTCCTAGTTGGTTGGAACCGGTGAAACCCAAACCCCAAAAACACCTCAAACCGAAACAACCCCCGTTCTTCACGAAGCTTCCGAAACCACACTGAGTTAGACCCATCCCTTCGGTCCCTTCGGTCTCGGTCACTAGAGCCATCGCTGATCTTCAACGTCTCGGTGGCCATGGGCACAGCGGAGCGGTCTCGTTCTGCGGATCGAACCGAGGTTTGGAACGCCCTTCTGAGCCGAGACGGGCGCGGGCAGGCAGGTCGCCGACGGGCGCCGATGGTCGGACCCGAGGGGAGCCTGGATGGATTCACGGACCGTGTTGGAGGTGTTGGGGGTGTGGAGAAATCACGACAAGTCACAATGCAAGAAAGGGACTGGCAAACCGCCGCCACTCTTCGAATTCCATTTGGGGGTTGCGAAAACGCGCACGTCGCTCGCTGTGTTCGAAGCACGCGCACGCGCTGAGATTCGGGAAGAGATCAGTGTCGCTTTGAGATCATGGTCCTTGTCTCGCCGTCTCCAGAATGGCTGAACACCTCTTTAATATGTCAATGTATAGTCTACACTGCGACTCACTAACATGAACCCAAAACAAGTTCTTTGGTATCTTCGCACCAGATGGTCTTTCCAAGAACCATGCCATCCATCCACATCCACATCCGAATGAGTCTGAAGGTGTTCTGCGTGGTCCCCCCTTCGATGGCCGGCCCTGGGCCGCCGCGTTCGGCGATCGGACCGGGTCTCCGAGACTCCCCACCAGGGACTGCTGCCTTGAGGCGAGAACGTGCGGTGGGAACGACGGACCTGGTTTGGACGGACCGAGAATGGTCGGTTCGGACCTCTCTTAAGAGAGGTTTGACGCTGGGTGACCTGAATCTGAAGTCAGGACGCGTAACCTGAGGCACCGGCCTCGTAAATGGTATGTCCAAAAAGGTTCTATGTTCAATTTCGGTTGCTTCAAGGTGTGTCCTTCCTGGAGATCCCGGAGAGTGGTGGGCTGGGGCGGCTGGAAGAGCCAGGTGGCCTTGGGCAATTGGCAAGGTGCTGGCACACTCCGCATAAGAAATCATGGTGCGCCCCGAGTTCCAAATCCAAAGACCCAAATGGTGGTGAACTCCATTTCCATGCACGATTATTTCAAGTAAGAAGTACCGGTGGGGATAGAAACATGTTCAAAGCAGGTTGATTGGTTCACGGTTTGACTTCTTCCAATCTGTTTCTGCTTCACATCCTCCCAACGAATGGTACGTTCCAAGGCAGTTCAAAGTTTTGAGGTGGCCAAATAGATATCTCAACCACTCCATGTATAGAACATTTGAATATGCCTACATTGGAATGGTTGAAATGGGGTCACTGTAGCCACAATATTCCACCCCCATGGAATGCCTGGCTATGAACAATAAGAGCTTACAGACTCTGAAGGAGACTTTCAACTTCTGGCACTAGTCTGCCGCCAACCCGTCACCACCCTATAATCTACCACCCAACTAGCCACTAGCCTTTTTTTCCCCAAACAATGTGTCCACACTAAGGTGCCTGATCGGCAGTGTGCGCATCCATGTTTGGCGAGTTCGCCGCTATTTACAGTACGACCTCGAGATCTTCGAAGTGCACTTCGACTGCGCAGGCTCGCAGAAATTGGTGGGTTGGCGTGGGTGCTCTTCTCGACTGCACCTGCGTTGCGGTGCCGTGCGCACTTTTTGGACTTGGCAATCACTTTGCGATGCAAGTGCCAGGGAAACCTCGTGTTTTGATGGTCCAAAGTCGACTTTTCGTGGCAAGCGCAGGGGATCGGAGCGGTTTTACTTCGACGTGCAGATTTCCTGGCAGGCGAAGTACGGACATGCTGCTGGTCTTCGCGCTCTGATTTCGTGGCAGGTGCAGTGAATTGCGACCTTTGAAATGAGAATACTTGAGAGAGGAGGGGGTGAACGAAAGGTAGCAGGCAATCACAAGTAACCCTGGTAGAAGTCCATGACGGCGTGAACCGGCGCAGGGGGGATTTGATCCAGGGGGGGGGGGGCCCCCCCCCCCCGACGAACAGAATCAACTCTTACAGGACCAAACTCAATGCACAATCCCAACTCCTGATTGTAATACATTTTTGCTAAAGCAAGGAGAACTCAGGTAGCTCAAGCTACCTTTCGTGATTTCCTGCAGAAATAAACATCACAGACGGAACTTCTTAAAAAGGAGAGAGTCCAGCCATGGCGGAGACTGCTCACGGGGTTCAAAGCGCATAATCCTTCGTGCAGTTTACAGGGTGGACCCTTGATCATCCAAGCATGTTCAGGTTGGTTAAGCACATATTTCTATCCTCCAGCATGGACACCCACTTTCATGGTGCCACCCTTGAATGTTGCCCTTTTGGCGTGATTGTTCTGCACATTCTGCATTCTTCCTCTAGTCTCTGAACAAATTTGATAGACTGTAAACCCAAGAATTCCAGACTGAACTATAGTGCCTGGTGCGACTCGTAAGGAACTCAAGGAAGGGATTTATAACCCAGGGCATCCAGGCAAACCACGATGTCGCTGGGAGTCCCAGTGGTTCCAGTTCGACCAAACCAGTTTGACCGGTTCCGAAGGGCCCCTAGAGTTCCTGGTTCCGTACTCGTGGGAACTGCCGGAAGGATGCACTGGGCTAAGGTTACCTGTTTTGGGAGGGTCGTTCCCAGTCCCGACGGGTTCCGGGTTCTTTGTCGTGAGGTCCCTGCTGCAGCGGTGGCGGTGGCATGCCAATGGCCTGCAGATAGGATCACTGGACAGGCATGACACCTCTCGGATTGGTGTTTTTCCCTTCAAAGACATGGGGGAAGAGAAACACACACAAAAAGAAAAAACGATTGTGCAAAAGAACGTCTTGAATTATATAGAATATTGTTAGCTAATGGCAGTCCTGCAAGCTGAAATTTTGCAAAATGGCAGTCCGTTTGGGATGAGGTGCCTTTCCTGATTCTTCCACAATCACAACCACGTGTGGAACTCCTCTTTTCATGGAACATTCACTCACTTGCCAAAACCCGGTAAAGAATCCGCGTGCCCAAAGATCAAAACCTCAAGAAGACCAGATCTCGATTTTCTGCAGAAACTTGTATGGGAAGAGAGTAACTCTCGCTCTCCATCAAAAAACAACACCACTCCCCCAAACTACATGCCCGTTTGTGAATGTTCAGGAGTGTTTGCATGTTTGACCGTTGCTGAAACACTTCCACCCGCCCCAGGTTGCCGTCCGGTTTTGGGCAGGCGACCCGGAATGGACTCGCACCCATGAGATCTGTCCCAAGTCGTGAGCACCAGGACGGCAGAAACCCACCCCCTTCAATGGACTCCACGACGGTGGGTTCTCTTTCAATCGGAAGAAAAGGTCTGTAAGACAGAGTGAGAAGACCAAAAAAATCAAAGAATGCCAAAAACATCCAAAAACACGGATATGACCCCAGGCCTCAAAGGTCAATCCTGAGTGAGCACGACCCCCAATTTAAATGAATGAAACCTGTCCGAAACAAATGTCGAGAGTTGTGGCAATCGTGGTTCAAAGGAGTCCAGAGTTCGTGGAACCAATGTCTTCCCCAATTTCTTCACATGCACCCCAAAGACAGAGGTTTATTAGTTCGAAAAAATCGGATGCTATCCAACCTTTTCTGGTTAATGGCAAAACATTCCCCGAACGAAGCCCAGATTGATTCTCTTGATTCTCGGAAGCGCCCTGTTCGTGTCCTTTTTCACTCGACGAAAACGAAAAAACGACAGTGGATGTGCAGCTCACATGACATTCTCCCAGTCCAACCCCGAGAAGATCGCTTTCCGGGACCCTGAAAGACACCCCAAATCTGGATCAAGGGAGTCACACGCTGGTCGTGACGAACGTCGAGTCACTAGACCTTCGTTCGGACACGTCGTGGAACTTTCGCATCCCCCCGCGGCCTGTGGCGGATACCGCGTCTGCAAGGGCGGCAGGGGAGCCGGGACGCCAGGGTGCAAGGCGCCCTGCCCGGCGAAGCAGCTTGGTGCGGGTCGCGCTGGTTTGCGAAGGAAAGGATGATTTAGAGAACATCCACATGCAAAAGAACATCAAGATGACAGAGTGAACAATACAAAAAGTATCAAATAATTGAAGCTCCTGTTTATGAATCAAACCAGGAACCTCCTGGCCAGGCTGTTTTGGGGATCATTTGGGACCCATCCGCAGCATCTAACAACCATCCACAGGTGGTGAACCTGGGCATTTCTTATTGTCACAAGATCGGTGTGCTGGTACAAGTCTTCCTTCAGTAGGAGGAAGTGCTGCTGCAGGAACCAGCCTCACCCAGTTCAGGTGTCCCAATCAAAACGGGGGGGAAGAATTTCCGGGTTCAGGCAGTCAGACTCTCGCAGTCTGGTGTTCTTCTAGACTCGAAGACTGACCATTGTCTGTTCAATAAGAACACCTGAACTGAGTGCTGGAAGACACTGCATGTTCTTTGCAGCGACTGGGCGTCTTCTGCTGGTTTTGATCCCCCGCGCCACGCAGGGGATCCTCCATCCATTTGGTCTAGCAGGGTGAATGGGAGATGGTCTTCATCGGTCATCAAGTCTATCTTTACGGATCAGAAATGGCACACGGGTTTGCTTGTGAAAAAAACATGCCGAAGTATGGAAGTATGGAGACAGCATAGCTTGGTGTCCGAAATCATGCAATCAGGGTTGAAGGTCCAAATCGGTCTAGCCGTCCAATTCAAAATCGACACTCTGAAACCTGTGGTTGACAAATCCTGGATGTACCAAAATGGTCGATCTTGGTCAAATCTGATCTGAAAACTCTTATACAAATCAACACTGGAATTAGAACTGTCACTTGAAATTGGAATCTAGATGAATCTAGCCATTCAATGCAAGTAGTCATCAAGTGACAGTTCAAATTTCTGGTCATCGTTGGCGACTGTCACTGAAACTAGCCATCACCCAACAAATAGTCATTCTGGTTGGTCCATCAATGCACCGAAAGGGCTTCCTCCTGGAAGTTCAAAGGTATCCACCTGCACCTGGTTCCTTTAAGGCATGTCCTGGAAAACCCCCGGAGAGTTGAGGGGGTGGGCTGGGGCGAAACCAGCCAGGTGACCCCGAACCAGCCAGGTTGCTGCACTGTCCTCCTTCGTCTTCGTCACTAAACCGCAGACGGTGGGACGCCGCGCGGCGGACGGACGATCCGCGAGATGTGGGCAGCCGGCTGCCCACCCGTTCGAGTAAGGCGATTCTCAAAAAGGACATCCAGCGGTTCTGGTAGATCTCGTGGAGTGAATTCACAATTCCCAACAAAAAAGAGGAGATCCACGTACTTCGCGTTCCGTGACATCGTCTCAAACCTTGGCTGAAAGGACCGGTGAGACTGGCATCGATCAGTTGGAGTGGTTTGGGGGGGGCGTCGGACTTTGGGGCATCTATGGCTGTAGGTCGTGGCGCCCAAGAACGCCGAGCAGTGGACTGACGTTTTACCTGGTGTGTGGACCGGTCGTGAAAGCAGCTACATGGTCGACTGGTCGGGCAGCTACATGGCGAGGCTTGACCCGGCCCATGCCCGGTCCGATCCTCTTAGCATCTGGAAACACTTCTGATTGGAACTGGCATATAACTGAGGTGTTTCGAGGTGGGCATTGAACTGAGCACATCCCATGGCGTTTCGGTTTTGTAGCGTGCCGCGCCTTCGGAGGCGGCACACTGGCGCCTGGCGAAGCTGCGTGAAGGCGGCAGGCAGCGGAAGGTGCAGCAGGGCGGCTTCGAAGGTTGGAAGATCTGAGGGTCGATGGTACATTCACTGCACTTCGAGTACTTAGACGAGATAGATTCAACAGGCGCAGCTGCAGATTCACGCAGCTGTCTCTTAAGATGTTCATGATTCCAAGGCGTTTTTTCCCTTCGAAGCAGGCCCTGCCTCTGCAAAGGTCCAATGAGCCAAATGAACCATAATGCTTCAGATATCATTAATATCATCCGCACAAAGTACACCTCCGCCCTCCCCTCTCCAAAGATACAAAATCATACAACATCCACACAGACATATTCCCTATAGGGATCCAGTCGTACCTTCTCAGGGTTAGGTGATGTGTTCGACACTCTCATGTAGGTTTCGTTCGGGTCCAGTCGTACCTTCCGAGGTTCGGCACGACTGGATCCCTAGGGATTCTACACACACCAAGCGAATTCCTGCCGATGTTTCTTCCGAGGAGGCGGTGGCCACGGCGGCGCCCGCCTGGAGAGCCACCGGTGTCTGTCCGGCTGCGGCGCTCCTCCTTCCGCTTCGCCACCTCAGACAGGTCGCTTCGGTCTGGGCGTTGGGCAGAACTCCGTTGGTTTCGACCCCCAGATGGTGATGGGTTGCACGGAGAAAAGAAGATTGATCATAAGGTGAAAAAGGGCACACGCGACAAAAAAGGAGGGTACCGAGAGGATCTTTTTGAGAGGTCCCGATGTCTTGCCAGCTCTTCATGAAAATGTGATCAAGTGTGCCACTCTGAAATTCCACTATGAGTCATGAAGGCAACACCTAGACCAAGTTATGGTCAGGATGAGTCTTCCTACCTTTCTGCTGTAGACTCGAACATGACCAAAACACTCCATGCATGAAATTTACCTGTCAGACTCCTGTAACCACTCCTATATATGCAATGCCTGGATATATGCAATACATGCAGTGTTTTACATATTTGCAATGCATGGAGTGTTTAGGGAATGATCAGGAATGAGGCAGTGAATAAACTCGTTTTCCGGTGTTCGGGGATGATGGTAAACTCTGAAGACTCAATGGCCTGATGGTATAGATACCGACATACCACTTGGCGACCCACGACCACATTCTTTCTCTCTTCATCTTTCTTGGCTGCAAAGCAGACAGGTTGCAACTTTGCTGTTTGCTTTTCTGTTAGCTGTTTTAAAATGCAACGAGTGACATGTGTGACATTGTATCATTGTCTTATTCCTTTTTCCCTTGTGGATTTGCACCGGAAGGGATATTTCATGGTTTCCAAGTCCAATCACCAATCACCTCTACCAGCACCCTCCAACAGGCTGTTAGTTGAGGGTTGTTGGACCCTAACAGGTCTCAATTGGTGACCTGTCGGAGGGTCCTTGTATAGAAGGTTTCTTTGTTTCACGTAACCCTGCGCTCCTCTTGGGGACCTCGGTCCCGCATCTGGCCGCGCACCTCCCCCCCTGCCGCTGAGGAACCTCCAGCCAGTCGACCCCCCAACGGGTCCCACGCGGCGCTCGACGCGTCCCGCGGCGCTCTCGCTGCTCGCTCCCGGCCTCTTGCTCGGCTTCGGAGTCGTCCACCACCATGTCGCCCGACTTGGTCCACTCGGCCTGGGTCCGGGCGATCCATGGTGCCATGGTGCCGTGGTGCTGAATTGACCGGATGATTGATATTGGCCAAACCACCCAAATATGGTCTGGAAATGAAACCATCCTGGTGGGAGGGGTGAATTCAGACTCCTTCAACGTATTGCCCTTGCTTCTTGGGCCCTTTGCCAAAAACGTCGAGCCGAGCCCTTCGCGTCAGCTGCTGTCTCACTCGTTGAAAGCCAAGAAAAAACCGGTATCAGGTCCGGTTGCAGGTTGTAGGTACTGTATGGTTGTAGATTATGTTAATCTATATATATGTATATATATATATGTTGTATGCTTTTTTGTAGGGTTGTATATAGGTGTAAGTGTTGTTCAGGTATGGTTAGTACAAGTACGGTATGGTTAGAACCCAGTCCGAAACCGGATGCAACTGCTGCAACTCCCCAGTGCCACTTTCTAAAGGATCTCAAGCAAAGCATAGTGGGTTCAATCCAGAACTGTTTCAGGTAGGAACCAAATGTCTCCACTGTTTCTGGAAGTGTTGGTTTCCAGGAGAATGTGTTACAACAAAAAAGAGGAAACACGCTGGGTAAAAAATGGTGGAAAAAGAAACGAAGATCATCCCGGTAGCCTTAGTCTTGGTCATCTTTCTCTTTTCTCAAGTAAATTGGCCCAGAGGTTACAACCACTGCCACTCCCTTCACAGCTGAGCTCATATGACCTTGCCTTGAGATGCCAAACGTGGCCCCTCGTGTCGGGCAACTGGACGAGTCCTGCCAGCTGGATGAGTACGGATTCATGGGATTTCCTGCCGTTGCTCAGGATCGGCAAAACCAGGTCAACCGTTCTCTCAATGGTCTTTCAAGGCCGCGTTCCGAGGAAGTAGACCTTCCGACGATGCTAAAATGGCTTTCACTTGGCTGATGCTATAGATGAAAAGGCAGAAAGGCTATGCTACAGTTGGACGATCCGAAGGGTGTTCACCATCGGTCAAAACCCCTTCTGAACGCCATGCACCGACCCGGATGATGAAGATGACTTCAACCATGGTTCGACTCAGATCACCTCTGAAGGTCTACGTCTTTGCAGATCAACCTGTTTTGGAACTATATATGGAACTGTTAATATACATATTTCGACATATTTGGTACATATATAGCCCATATATATATATATATAACATATATATATATATATCATCATTATATCTTCAATCATAGGAATCATCATGGCACCTCTGTTTCACCCACGAGGTGCTCAAAGAAACTGACGGGGTCAATTCTCCAGGTTCCACGGGTCAATTTGGATGTTTGGAGTTCCAAAAGCAGCCAGGTTGGCTGAACTGGGGGGAACCTCGGTGGCTTCAACTGGTGGTTCAGCGACTACCACTCAAAACAACTCACCAAAACCTGTCCTGCTAGCCGGACGCTCCGTCAAGGTCCCTCCAAACCTCTAGATTGGGTTGCTTCGACTCCCACAAACCCCTCCATATGGAGGGACTGATCCCTCACCCTGCCGCGTCTGGAGCCTCCACATCTCCAAGCTTTGGAACGGAACCCGCCTGTCCTTGTGTGGTGGCTCGCAAAGCTTCTTCGGCATCAGCCTGCGTCGATGTTCCCCTCCACCCTGCGACTTTGTGGTGTGTGGAACCCAGGGTGACCATCAGTGAGTGTCAGGTGCCCAGCTTCGCCTCTGAATTATTGGGCGAAACGAACACGCCAGGATGGTTCAAGTGTCGAACCCATCCGCGGGGAGACTCCGCCACCAAAAACAAAGCCACCGACGGATGCATGGCTTCGCGCTTCAAACAGGAGCAGCACCGCAGGTGGGGGCGGCATCCCCTCGTTTCTTCCACGCAAATCAGCAGGACCGGACTCCAAGGGCTCCAGTGGTGAAAGACCTCGTTGCGACCGCCGCAGACTGCGACCGCAAGCGAACGCAGAACCTCATCAGTGCTGCCATCAGTGCACGTAGACGGGCGTTCAAAAGCAAGACTCCCCCAAATTCACATTGGAAAACCACCACCTATGGTTTTAATCGAATGGTTCTCTACCCTCAGACCCCCAGAGATCAACGAGAACCCTTCGCTACCCTACGTGTATAGAGAGAAAAAACACCTGGTTCTCTACCCTCGCGTCCTTCCAGTGTTCCACATAACCATGATTCCTTCAGGGATTAGTGAGGACTCAGGAGTTTCAATAGAGTTGGGTACCGAAAATCCCTCACGGATCCCTCCCCCATCCACTCACCCCCCGCGGGAAAAACCACAATTACCCATCACAGGGTCAGGAACTGACCTCATAGGAAAAACCATTCTATAAGGAGGTTTTACTGGACTGGACTTGTAGGGAAGGCTGGAACTCCAACTTGTCCTCGGCCCTTCTGGGAGGTTTTGGGCACCTCATCCAAAACAACGCTGACATCGGACGTGGTGTATTCGTAAAACGTCCAGAAAAAAATAGATCCGACTTCCAGAAACTCATATTTTTTGCCTACAGGTACAAGAATGCAGCGGTACGCATATTTCTGCCCAAATATATGTACAAATCTTTTGGGCTGTGGTGTTTCTGTTCTCTGTTTGGGGAACAGTGTCGCTAACCTGGGTGATTTCTGTCCACGCCTTTCACCTTCAAACGATCGAAAACCACTGATTTCCGCATCCCTGTCACTGGACATGTGCAGGATGTTTGAAGAGATATTCGGCCCGAGTAAGAGGTTTCCTGTTGGAGGGTGCTGATATGGATTTGATCCAGAGTTGGACGGTCCAGAAAAGTGAATCACCTGCCAGGTGTCTGTGACAACCTGGAGCTCCAAAGGCTAAGCATGGAATGGAGATCCGTCGGCGACGAAGCTTCGCGCTTTCCGTTTGACCTTACTCAGGAACTTCACAAAGCCAAAGCAACGCGGCTTCCGGGAAGACTTATCCACCTGGCCCGTCGGTTTCGCTGCGCGTGTCATCTCAAAAAAAAGAATCATTGGACCAGCTTCTTCGGTTCGTGACCTTTTTGGGGTCGCCACTAGTAACAAGAAGCTACGAACGGAACAAAGGGCATCGCTACGAACGGAAGAAGAAGCTACATACGTAGCTCCTGGCCATACTACTAGTAACTAAGAAGGTTGCACAAACTCCTGAGTTCGTGACCTCCTCAGTTCGTGTGACCGAACCGGATCTCAAGGTCACGGACTCACGAGTCACGGACACTCGAGGCGAACTCACACTCGCGTCTCGGACACCCGATGTCGGGACCTCTCTATTGTCGGGGGATTCCAGAGGGCGGGGTACATGGCTAGACTCATTTGAAACACGGGATGCGACTCAAACAACATGCACTCAGACCGGGTGATGGGAGGCACGAAAGGATGTAGGCGCCAGGAGGGTGTCCTAGCTTCTGGGCACCCACCTTCTGTGACGCAAAAGCGGTACCTGCATCTGACTCTACAGGTCTCCGAAAATGGAGGGTTGTTGGGAAGGGCCTTCTCAATTGCTGATCCGGCAGTGAGGGTGCTGGTAGATGATTTTGTGAATTGTTTCCGAAAGTCCATGGCAAAAGGCCATAGAGACCACCCCATGTGCCAGAACTGTAGCACAAGAGTTTCACTTGAGGGGAAAGAAACTCCTGGAACGAAGACAAAGACTCCCATGCCCCAGTGGATCCAGCCCTTTCAGGTCTTGTGCATTCCAAAACCTTCTCCACACCACTTAAAAAAGCCACCTCCGACTGCCGACTTGCAGTCGATAACTCGATAACATGAATCATGGGAAACTTTATTTACTTCTTACAAAGAAGCGCACTGAATCGGGTCACCTTGAAAGTCTACCATCTACCAAAATTCTACCAAATCTACCATCTCAACAGATTCACCACACCCCAAAACCCATAAATCTTACAACCACCTTCAAAGGGGTCACCCGGCTGGAAGCCCACAACTTGACAATCTCCATTGGATACCGCTTGAAGGTCCAGGAACTGTCCCAAACGAAACCACCTTCCTCATATCGTCACCTCCACACCCTTGGGTATACGTATCCCGTTACCAAGGACCAGTGGATGATGCTTCGGTGGCAGGCCGTTCCATCTCAAAAATGGTGGTGGAACCCTAAACCCTAAACCCTTCCTGTTACTGGGACATCTTGGGTTACAACCTACATAGATGCCAGTCCCACGGATGGTCTGGGAATGAAATAATATACTGATGTTCTTCTCGTATATTATATATACCCTTACCGTTACTGCTAATGAAACATATATATATACCCAAAAATGGTGATGAAGCTTTCACCACTTCCTGCGCCTGGTCAAAACAAAAGCGTCGCGTCTGCTACCGCTAATAACACCCGCACCTAGGAACCCGCACCACGAGGTGTACACGCTTCACCCGGCAAAACTTGCTAAACTCGCGCTCGATGTCGGCCTGATAAAGGGAGAAGTGTACACATTCTTCCGACGGTCTCCAGAGCGAAGTGAATGCTACAGGCGTCCGGGAGCGAACATGGGGAGCGAAAGGGAGAGCTTTGTGTTCCAATTGTGACAGTATGAAGCCAACATGTTGATGAAAAAACAAACCAAGACACATCAGAATCATTGAGCGATGAGAACTGTATGCACGAATGGAAACATGTTCGTAGAGCACACAAGATACTTGTCAAGATACTGAAGTTAAATCAATACTTGTCGAGAAACACAGCAGCGAAGTGTCAAGAACTCGCCAAAGGTGGCCGATTTCGCCGGTCCGCGAGGGATGTTTTTTAGGGGGGATACCGGGATACCCCCTGGCCCAATAGGTCTAGACTCTATTTTCCTTCGGAGGTCTCCCAGCTTACACACCGCAGGTGTCATGGACCGTTTTCGGGCGCCCACCGACGTCCGCGGCTGGATCCGGCGCCTCCGAAGCCTCCCAGGGAAAGTACGCCTCGGCGACTCGGCTCGCTGTCGGGCGGGCGGGGCTCGGTTCGGCGGTTCACTCGGCGCGCCCGTCTGACGGACTGGACTGGGTGTTTCTTGGTGGCCAAAGATTTGGCCCACAGCCTCTATACAGTGAGTTGATGTGTTCTTTTAATATTCATCCGCCACTATGCGGAGACTTGAGAGGCGCCTAAGTCTATGGCTGGTCGCCATAGTCGTTTCGCTCAAATCTGCTTTGTTCATCGATCCACAATTTCATCCATATATGTTTATAGCAGGTAAACGCGCCAGCTCCTCAGCCAGAAAACTCAAGGACTACCTCTTCTTCCGACTTAAAACATATATCGACAGCACAAAGCCTCGCTCTTCTTCCATATTTGGTGGGGGGGGAATGCCCTCCCATCTGGCGCACCGAATGGGTATGTCCAGGGCGGGCACGTCGGAACCAATCCACCATTGACCGGACATTCCGCGACAGCGAATGGACCATCGTGCGTGGTGCGAGACGCCGTCGATGCAGGAGGGAAATGCCGGCGATACAGGCGCGAACATGGACACCCTAGCAACACCACAGATTCACGAGAAGTCCAACACCACAGCAACCAGTCTCAGTGCATGGAGGAACGGTCATGGGTCGGATCCCGACTGCAGAAAATGCCAGACCTCTCTCTTGCCTGTCTCCAGACTCTCAGTTCGAAGCGCTGCGACGCACGGAAAGAGTTCTTTCACCCAGTGGCAATCAGAAGGGTCTGCCCACCACGGACTGGATAGCCTCACGAGGCTAGGACTTGAGGCGAAACCTATCAAAACATCAGTGATACTCTGACATACTATGACCTATGGCCTATGACAGCCTAGCGCCTTTTTGAGGCTCAACCTCCCTAGTTGCTTTAAGTGAACATCTCCAAAGAAACTCTTCTGAATGATCACATCTAAACGGGGCCCGTTTGCAGATGTCCAGTCCAGCTGGGGGGTGCTCAGAGAAGATCCGAGTTGCTGCTGAGCTTGCTGGTCCAGAAAGCGCCAGCAAGCTGGCATTTGGAGGTGTCAAAAAAAGAAACTGCCCAAAAACCCTTTCCAAAGAGCCTGGTTACTCAACTTTCTGGCCATGGGCCCATGAGCCCATGGGCCTTGCCATCCATATCCATTGAACAATTGGGTCATTAGAGAGGGGTCACTACTTCCCCCAGCTTGCTTGCATGTCTCTCCTCAGGAGTAGCTCTTCGGACGTAGCTCTTCGGACGAACGACGGAGCGGACCCGACGGGTCCCGACGGGTCCAGTCTGAGGACCGACCGCAAGGGGGTGGCCTATCCGAATGCCAGTCACAGTGGATGAATGGTGATTTGCTTCTTTGACTGTTGTACCGAGTTGTACCGGTAAGGTCGGACAGACCCAAGTGTCATCAGGTGCATCCAGCTAGATCCTCTTTCTTTTTGGGGCTCGAACGTTCGTGTAGTGCTAGTCTACTCTGCACGAGTCCAACGAACCCCAGAATCCACCCATCACCCATCAGAAACATGAAACATCCTGAAACCCCACACACATCTCGTGTTCCACGCGGTTCCTCAGCCAAAACGCCCCGGGCGACAACGTTTGTTCCCCCCCCTCGCGCCGACGTCTGCAGCCATGTCCTTGGGTGGATAATGATGCACCTCGGCCAGCGCGTCCGGCGGCCCAAAAAACGTGGCACGGTCAGGACATTGCATTGAGGGGAGAGGGGGAGGGGGGGTTTTGCACCCAAATCTGGAACACAGCAAGAACATGCAAGATTTTTTTGAAGCACCGACAAAAATATGGAGGACCTGGGAAAATGGCAGGGAACCGGTCGCCAATATGTCAAGGGATCCTCCATGTCCTCCAATCCGGTTGTCCGCCCAGGATGGGATAGAAGAAATTTAGGCCTCAAGTTCAGGCATCAGCATCGATCAGCCTTCAGGGAATAGGGAGAGGAAACCATTCCGCACAGCGCAGATTGAGGACAAAACAGTTAAAAAAATTACTTTACTTCGAGTGATCCCCACCATGACATTTCAATGGCAAAATTTCTGGCACGCGACTTCCATATGTTTTTTCTGGCATATCTTCTGACCTTCTTTCATCTGACATTATTTCTGACATTTTTCCAGCACATCTTCTGACATTCCACGGCCGCCTGCCCAGCAACCAACATGGGACACCTACTCACATCCCCCATCCGACACGGCCTACACACATCCTTCCAAGCCCCAGGTCCAGCCATCGCCGCCACCACCCACTGGCAGCTCCTGGCCATACAACATAAGGGTGAGGTTGTTGATGGGATTGCTGAGTGCGACTGGCATGGGACATTGGGCCGTAATTATACTGAGGTGAGATGACTTAGGCTAATTGGGTCGAAGTGACATACAACTTTCCCAGGGCAAGTCCTAAGTCATGTACAAATGTAAACTCTGCAATATCATTGGCACACACTCATGACATAGGGCTTGTTGACCTGGTCCTCAGGATTTTTTTAGAGGATCTTTGGTGACAACCTGTGGCATCTCTGATTTTGATGCTTTTCAAAGCTTTTGCTTCATGACATACATACTTGTGGGGGGTAGGCTAAACCTTCATGACTTAGCCGCAAAAATTTGGAGGCACTTTTCACAAGTCCTTTGTCATTTCAGCTGAGTATAAATGTGAGCTGGTGTGTACTGCGCAGGCTGCTGATGAGGATAGTACTGCCAATGAACACTGCCATCCGGGAGCTGGCGGTTGAGGTCCGGCGGGAACACTGCCGTGCGGAGCTGGCGGTCGAGGTCTGGCGGGGAACACTGCGGCACAATGCGTGTAGTACAGAGTTCCAAGTTTCGTACATGCTTCACAGACCCGCCCTTAACAGACTATTGCGGAATTAGCGTTGCAGGAAGCCAGCGTTGTCTCCTTCACCCCTGGTGTAGGAGACGGCAAGATCTCAGACTCAAGGCTCAGAATCAGAAGGCGTTGGCCACGTCCTCAGCGGCGGCCTCAGCTGCTTCATAGAGGCCATGGGCTTCAGATTCAGATGCACCATTGCCCCCAGGAGCCGCGGCGTGGCCGACACCAAGCCTCATTCATCATACAGGACAAAAACAGATGAAGCCCTGAAAAAATAAGAACACACAAGTCATTTCAATCACACATCGCCAAGGGACGGTTGGATGACCTGGTTGGAGGTCTCACAGCGATACGGGCAGGCATCCAAGCCAACACACGCCACTTCCACGCAGGCCCCATGAAACCGATGGCCACACCACAAGGCCGAAGCATCGCTGACCAGCGAATCCTGGCAGATGACGCAAATCTCCACATCATCATCATCATCATCATCATCATCATCATCATCAGGACGAGCTCTGCCCGAATCACCGCCAAGCTCTGCGGGCGCAACAGGCTCTGCCACCACCAACGCCGCTGCCTCAGCGCCAACCGGCAGAGCCTGGCACCAGCGAACGATTAGCCGCCAGATCAGTCAAGGCTGCCATTTCTGTGTCCGTAGGTAAAGGGCTGTTGGCCATGATATCCTCGGCTGAAGCGTAATCTGCTCCAAGGGCACGGCACAAGGCTGGAACACTTCCGGAACCACTGGCAGCCGCTTGCAGCGGCAAAGCCAACTAAGGCCGATCCCGCTTCCCAAGCCCACGAAGTAGACCAGGAGCAAGAGAGCCTCAAATTCGTCCATCGCAAAAGTGGACCAGCCCCCTTGACCATCTTGAGCCAAAATGGAAGTCAATGAACATCTACATCAGTTTGGTTTTCCACCAGACCTCAACCGTTTCTCTTTCCTTCGAAAATTCTTTTCTCCACACAAACGGCGGGCACCAGCACCTGCGATCAAGCACAGATACATCACTCGTCCGTAGCCTGCGGACACCGAAGAGAAACCCAGGTTACCCATGACATGACATGCTCCCCGGTTAACCATGGTTGGCAGAACCCACCCATGGACAATAACGAGAACACAAGAGTTGAGTTACGGCAGCGTGGGTAACACCGTCACTAAGACCGCACAAAGGGGAGACAGAGCGGCTCAGTTGACACCGGGTGGTGGTGTTTTTAAAGTGGGTGGTTGTCTAGAAGTCGATGATCTCTCTGCTGCTGATGGTGACGCCTCCTCAACACCCGAACAGGTTTTCCACTCTCAAGGATCCGCATGCCCCTGGCTGCAGGCTGAAGTGGTTTTCTTCAGCGAAGGAGGCGCCCTCCCAACTCTCAGAGCCCCCGGACAATGTCTTTTGATGGCTTCCCTCCTGAAGACGTCGCATGTCGCGACGTCGCCGGTTCTGCCGGCGAACGCGGGAAGAGTCCGAACGAGCCAAGGACGAAAGGACATGTCGAAAGGACATAGATGAATCCTCGTGCAAAGACCAATCCTGGACAACCCATCTCCAACTCACTTCCACTTCTTTTCCTTCACTGTCACAAGCGTGATCTCAGAACCGTGTCCAAAACCTCGAAAAGAAAACAAACCTGTGATATGCTCAGGGAAATGCCCACCTTGAAACACCTCAGTTATATGTCAGTTCCAATCAGAAGTGTTTCCACAAGCACTTGTTGCGAAGAGGGTCGGACCTTGCCATATAGGGATGGGTCTGGAGCCCGACCAGTCTACCATGTAGCCGCTTTCACGACTGGTCCACACACCAAGAAAAACGTCAGTCCACATCCTTTTTACTTTGCCACATTCTCGAAGAAAAGAAATCATCAACAGCATTGCTCATGATCTTGTGATGCTTCATTGTGTACGCTCCACGTTCTTGACTGAGTTGACAATGACCTAGATTCCTTCAGCTAGTAACAAGGGCATCGCTACTAGGAACAAGTGCATCGCTACTAGTAGCAAGAAGCTACTAGTAACACCTTGGAAGTCCCGGCACCCATCTCGAGCTTCGAAAAACACACCAGGAACGACGGTCACCACCCCGGTGTCGTTGCAGGACTTCGTGGGTTGGGGAGGGGGGAGTAAAACAAATGGTGCTCACCTGTTGGTTGGGTCTGACAGGTCACAGCCGGCTCGGACGGCTCCTGCCCCAGCACCTCCCATGCTGGAAGGATTGTGGTTCACGCCTTGGGGCGGCACACACGGGCGGCCGAACCCACGCCGGGTCACAGCGCGGAACAGCGGACTGACATGGAACGAGGCATCGGAGCATTCGGAGTGTCGGACGTGTCGGACTGGTCTGACATGGTCGCTGGTTTGAGTATCTTTGGCAGGCTTGGGATCCTATTTGACGTGGTTTCTCCAACGGATTGCGTCTTCTTTGCTGCTTGTCCCCCCTACAATCAGCACTGTGTGGCAGCTTTCGTTAGCCTTCGTTGGCAGGTCTTTCCATCCCTATGAATCCAAACGCGAGCGCGTTTGGACTGTCCATGAGTCAGCAAGCCAGTCAGTCACAGCACCAGACACAGCACCACCTCTCAAAGCCGCTCGGACGATTCAATTGTGACACACCAAAAGCAAGCCAATTTGGTTTTCAAGAAAGGCCGCTGGTTCAATTAATGAAAACACACAACCACTTTATACCGTGTTTGTCGTACTTGCAAAAAAAAGACCTTCACGCAGCGTGCATGAAAAACGCGCCGTGCCTGCCGGTGCACCCAGACTGTCCCATCGACTGGATTGTCAGGGCATTGTAGGCTGAAAGGTCAAAACCTTTAAATATTAACGCCCCCGTTGTTGGAATTGTTGGTCACCCTCAACTCTTATCTAGCAAAGTCTTCTCACTGTGCAGGCTGTTGCGACTCAAACAACAAACCTTTCGCTGCCTAGCTCCAGTTTCAAGGGGTACATCAATGGGTGAAAGCAAAAAATGTTGGGGCCTACCCACAGTAGTCAACCATGCAAGTTTGGAGCCACGGCCATGATTTTGAAGCCACGGCCATTTTCACTGGGAGTCCCAGTAGAAATTCCCCTTGTGGTGTCCCTTTAGTCAACACACCGCGGAATACGCACACCGTGTCAAGAGACGTCAGCTCCAACTCGGTCCGAAAAACAGGTGCTCGGGAAGCGGCTGTAACCTTTGCCATAGCCATCATAGTCCTTAGCAGCTTAGCAAAATGGCCAGGGCCAAACACAACGGCCCGAATACTCCATGTATGCCTACATTGACCCTGAAACCACCCCAATGTAGGTATATAGGCCAGGAGCTACATTTGTAGCGTCCTTGCTCCGTTCGTAATCCAGGTTACATCCGTTAGTAATGCCAGGCTACCCTTGTTACTAGTAGCGAAATACATATATAGAACTATACTGCCCTTTGTTACTAGTAGCTGGAGTCTCTGGGTGATGATTTTCTTCGGCGCTGACGTCAGCTACTCTGAACTACTTGGGAGTTTGCCAGCTCAGCTGAGTAGCTATGCATCCCACACTGTTAACCCTTAGTGCCTTGAGTGCCAAATCCCCTGAGGAAAACCCTGATTCATCAGATCCCCAGACCGGTCCTGTTAGGCAAACCACCCAACCACCCCTGCTCATCAGCTGGTCGAACCAGCTGCTGGTCGAACCTCCACTTTCGACCTTCGACGTTCCTCCCCGAGACCTTCTGAACACTCCAAACTCCAGCCCAGGAATGTTAAGCCGTAAAAAAGAACATGAACATCCGATAGGATCACTCCCAGTGGCCCAGTCTGCTGCTGCTTCCCCCTTCTTGCCGCCTTTGCGACGATGCTTGCCTCCCAGCGCCGTTACGGCCGCGCGTTACGTCCACCCCACAGCCCCACCCGGGCGCGAGGACTCGGGGGGTGCGAGTGCCACCAGCGGTGTAGAATGCACGGATTCGACTCATCGAATTCACTGGTTCCCACGGAGTTCTTCGTGCTTTTGAAGGCGCTTTCAAGATGCGTTCTTCGTCTAGAGTGAAACATGTACTCAACTTTCGGCCGCCCTCAGAAAACCAGATGCCCGCCGACCTTTTGGGGGTTCCTGATGGGCCCAGCGGTCAGAAACCCTCCTTTCCTCCCCGAGACCTGGTTGGAAACCACTGGTGACCGGTGTGTGGAACCGACCAGCTCCTTTTTTTAGTAGGCTCAGTCACCTGCTCAGTCACCTGCTCAGTCTCAAGTTCTTAAAGGGTCGGTTCGTTCCTACCCTTGTGCAGCAGCATTTTTTGGGGCTGACACTTCTTAGATTCGCTGACCCAACTTGCTGATACTTCTCCAGTGTCCCGACCCAGAAAGTAAACCTTTCGTTGGTACGAACATCCAGGAGCTATATCAAATGCTGTGGGTCAAACACCTTAAAAAGACCTTCAGACTTCCACTTCCAAGGCCGGATCGAAAACAACCTTGTTTTACTAAGGTCAACCTTTGTTCTAATGGTGTTTGAAGGATTGATGTTTGAAGGGTTTGTATACATGCGATAGAATATACAATATATACTCTAAGACTTTAAGGGGGGCACAAAAACTCCAAAATCGTTGAAAGTGTTTTGGTCCGGTTTAAGAGTCAAAGTCAAAGGGTCATTGTCTACCAGCACCTTCCTGGCCAGGTGGTGACCCGACTTGGAAGCAGTGGTTAACCTGGACGCCGAACTCACTTGTTACCCAGTTCAACAGCAGATTTGGAGGCCAAGCCACGGTATAGTTCCAAGCCACGGTTTTAGAGGCCCCAAACCGTCCCACCGGCGGACAGTTGGACACAGTTCTCCCTCCCACCCGAACGCCGTGTCATGCCGCCACCCGGGGACCTCCTCCTTTGCCATAACCGTCTGCCATCTTGTGCCTCAGTGGAGCTGAGTCCGTAAGAATCTCATGATCCCCACCTGGGTGCTGCTTGAGGTGAAGGATCTTTCTTTCTCGGAAATCGTCAAGTGACCTGCCTTTGAAGGAAAGAGCTTTTGACCACGTTAGAACGAAACAGGCTAGCTCTCGGGAGAAGCAGGTCACGTTCCTTCCGTGTCTGCAAACAACAGGCTCAAAACGAAACAGTTGCTTCCTTGAGGCTGCTGAAACGGACTGAGACACCAAGAATCAAAACACAGCTTTGGGACAATCTGATATCAAATGAATCACTAAGGAATACTAAGGACCAGCATTCCACCAGATCGTCCATTCATCTTAGTGCAATTGGCCCACGGCCGAAGCTTGGTTCTTCGCCGCATGTTCATGGCCCTCCCTGCAGTGTCCTCTTCCCCCGACTCCGATGTTCTCGGGCATCCGGCTCGGCACCTGGGCCCTAAGAACCACCACCCCGAACAAAGGGCCAAACAGGAACCCCCCCCCTCCCTGATCGCCATCCCAAAACCGGAAACAGCGGAACGGGTCGGAACGGGTCCGGAGATCCTGGAGGGCACCGCCTCCATGCCACACCGCGTGCAACGCCCCGAAGGCGACGCCACAAAGGCGACCGACTGGTGACACACAGGCCGTACGGGCTCCAGGTTCTCGACGCTCTTCGCTGCGTTTCGGCTGCGTTTCGACCGACTGCTCTCCGAGGCGCCGACGAACTGGTGACACACCCGGTGACACGCCGAAACCGATCCTCAATCCCGGTGACACGCCTGGGCCGAGGGTTTGGGAAGCTTGGACACGGTAAGGGGGTTCAAGAGGTTGAGACTTTAAGGGGTCCAAGGACCGGGTGTGATTTTGGAGGTGATGGGAGGCGACGCTCTCAGCTCTGAATCGCTCCGCCCAAAATGGTGGTCTTTGGACTTCCAAAAAGGCTCTGCAGGTTCTTCGGGTGAGATTGGGAAGGACATGAAAGGAACATGCCATGGTCAGGGGATGTTTTTTCAACCACCAGTGAACTGCAGTGCTGCTTGGTCTATGTTGAAAACATGGGTACTTGGACCCATTTCCCGACTTCCAAGAAGTCCAAAAACAGTGGTTGACCTGGTTTAGAGTCAAATCCTTAGTTGGTTTGGCAAAGCAGTAAAGCCATTGAAAACTATGGTGGGCCAGGAAGCCTAGGGCCGATGTAGGTGAACTTGGAGGATCCAAGGCCTAAGAGGCTAAAGAGAGCTCAATGGCGTCCCGTGGTCGATGACAGCCGCGTCGCTTCGAGGGTGCTGGTGGAGTCTCACATGTCCACCATGATGTTCCATTCTGTGGAGCATGTGGACGGAGCATGCGGGGGAGAGGCTGGAACATCCGTGGCATGTGTCATGATCCCGGCCCTTTGGGCTCCAGTCGTATCTCCAAAATGAAGGTATGACTGGACCCTCCTGGCACCCACTCCAGTCCTACCTTCGAAACGAAGGTACGACTGGAGCCCTAGAAAATGTAAACCTTTTGGACTGACCCGAGATCACCTGTCAGCATCACCAAACCTTCGAGATCCGCCCCAAAACCCCCTGCCTCGCAGTGACACCTAGAAGAGAAACGACGGTGACACCGGGAAAAGGGGAGACCGACGAGGCGGAGCACAAGAAGCTTCTGATTCTGAAGAAGACGGGTGGCACGTCCCTGTCAGAGCTCCTGTCTCATAGGTGGTTAGACCCCCCTGTCACCCACCCCAGTCCCACCTTCGAAACGCATTGAGGCCGTTGAAAAAGACATGCTGATTTGCTTGAGTGCCCTACTTGCACTTTTACCGCACTGATTTCCCGGATGTCGTTCAAGCGTCCAAATATCTATTTGGTGGGACCGCAGAGGGGACCACGAAAGAAGCCCTCACAGCAAATCGCGTTGGTCCACAGGTATCATGAGACCTCCTCTATAACAATGCTCCATTTCGGAGACCTGTAGAGTCGGGTGCTATATATAATTTGGGTCAAGGAGCTACGGCTCAAAATCCTATTTGAGAGAAAAGCAGAGAGTTAATTACCTCGCTTGTGGACAAGAAGCGCAGGAGAGTTCCAGTGTGGACAGGATGAGAACATCCAATCTATATCATTTGGCTTGTGCCTCAGGGTAGCTGGCCATGTTGCTCTATTATATAACTCTCGAAGATCATCGCTTGAGCAGCCTCTACATGAAATGATAGCCGCGCTTATAGCATCTAAAAACGCTACGAGTGGCAACTGTTCGTTGTTCCAGCTCTACCAAGTATTCCAAAACTCTCCCTCTTCCAGAGCTCGTTCGCTCCTCCCGCCCTCTTCAGACCTCCCCACCCCTTCCCGCTCGCGCTTCCCGCGCTACCCCCGGGGACCCCGAGCAGGGTAGGGGGGTGAACGGTGAACCACGGCCAGGCGGCGTCGCCCGCGGTCCGGGGACCGAGCGATTCGGGAACGGCTGCGGCGCGGTTCGGCGCGACCGGACGGGTTCCGAGGTTCGGTGGGTGTTTAGACCAGCACTTCGGCCCAACTGCCCAGCATCACCAGTCCCTATGAACCAAAGTACTCGTTAAACTGGTCCTTAACTAAAGGCCTACTTTTACTTTTCGAAAGAACGTACTTTACTTTGTCTAATCACGACTCCATTAACATGCTAGCACAGGATTTGCATGAGTGTTCATACGTTTTGCAGGTGGTCAGGGCATGTTCAAGCTGCAAAAATGCAGCTGGTCGGCATCATGCATGTCCGACATATGAAAGACATGCATGGATAGAAGGATCCATTGATAAACATGGATAAATCACTGATCACATGGCTAGATTCCATGAATGAAATGACATCATAGCACCACATCCCCGCCCTTCGATGCCCTGTCGTTTTGGCCTCGCACATGGATCGCAATGCATTGTTTTAATTAAACAGTCGTGATTCCCCTTGTCCGCTCCAGTTCTGAGATGGTTGTTCACTGTGCAGGGAACATCCCGGAGGACATTCCAAGTCTGGCAATCCTCGCCATGCAAGAATCCACTCTCCACCAGAGGCGTCAAGTAGCTTCTGCTCAGCTCAAATATCAAGACAAGGACCCCTGCACCCAACCCTCAGAGCCAATCCTTTTCCCAAAGTTACGGATCTGTTTTGCCGACTTCCCTTACCTACTTTGTTCTATCGACCAGAGGCTTCAAACCTTGGAGACCTGATGCGGTTATCGGTACGACCAGGGGTGTGAATAAGTCTGTCCTTCGGCTTTTCAAGGGCAGTTGAGAACGCACCGGACACCTCGGAAGACAAGGTGCTTTACCCGCAATGTAACCCTATCTCCAGATAATCTGATTCCAGGGTAAAATGCGGTTAAAAAGAAAAGACAACGCTTCCCAGGGCTCCCCCCTGCGTCGCCGAATTCTCTTACGTAACCGTACAATATCCACGTCCTGGTTGGAGGTTAACCCCATTCCCTTTCGAGGAACGAAGCGAAGCTTGCGTACGCGGAACATCCCGGATGAAACGTGCTCTTCGGAAGAGACTCTCGGCTAGTATCTGGTGACAAAGCTACGTGTTTTGAGGGCTTTTGGGGGTGGATTGCCAGCACTTCCCCACAACAAGGAGCCTACGAGAAGAGAGTGGAGGAATCGTCTGATGAAGAAGGTGCCTTTGGCATGGATTTGGGGACGATTCGTGGGTGCAACACGTTCCCTACAAGTCCAAAGACCCAGTAAAACCTCCTTTAAAATATTTGGTTTTATGTGACCATCCCCAGTAAAATGAGGTCTTTGACTTGTAGGGACGTTGGATTGGACGATGTATGTTCGCAGGCTACGGCTCGTGTGAGCGGTTCACAATCATGATCATGAGATATCATGAGACAATTTAAGCTAGTTGGCTGGCTCCAAGTTGGCCCTAGAGCACTTACAGCTGGAATTCCCGCAGCTGTGGTGGGTAGGATGCCCTCCTCGTCAGATCAGACGTCCTCAGAACTCTTGGGGGGTTGTTCCTTCATCCAAAATGTGAAGTACCATGTCCCACAATGGCAATTTCCTACAACTAGCTGGTGTCCTTTGGATTGCTGCCATGCCTGATTCCCGACCGCGGGATGCAGTGGTGGATGTGCTGAAGGCTCGCTTTTTCATTGGCCTTTATGTCACTTCAAAAATATTCAAAAAATTTCGTGCTTGAACTCATGATCCCTTTTTTATTGGGGTTCCTTCTGGCACAATACCTATAGAGATCGACTTGCTGATGGCTGGAAATGGATTCGGGTGGAGCGCCTTTGCAAAGAGAACAACATCCCGAACTATCGAATGATGCGTGACTTGAAGAAACATCGTGCAACTGGACCCAAACTTATTTGGGATCTTGGGCTTGTTTGGGCGTCCCAGGCATGCACGCTAGGGGCTCCTGGCATCGCTACTAGGGGCTGAAGGACATTACTAGGGGCTCCAGTCATCGCTACTAGGGGCTGAAGGTCGCTACTAGGGGCTCCAGTCATCGCTACTGGGGGCTGAAGGACGCTACTAGGGGCTCCTGGCATTGCTACTAGCGGCTGAAGTGGGATCTTGGGCTTGTTTGGACGTCCCACCACTGCTGTCCCACCACCCACCACTGCGAGGAAGCCCGGCTCACCTGCGCAGTGTGCAAGGGACACCGGTCTTCACTAGGGGCAGGTTAGGAAGAGGACCTGGTTTTCCGGCAGGTTCCACCAATTTCTAGCTGGGTGGAATCCACCTGGACTTCTGAGCTGGACAAATTTGTTTCAGCTGTTCCCCAAAAGGGGTCACCTGGTCAAGGGATGGAATCCACCTGGACTTCATGAGCTGAAAAAATTTCAGCTGTTCCCAATTTGGGGGAGGGCGTATTCCGAAAGGGGTCACCTGGCCAATGAACCTATTCAAAAATTCTGCTGCTAAGATGCCATGCACTTTCAGCTTCGTTGATGTGGACAAGAAGGGCGTCACTGGAAAGGGGCTGAGGGGCGACACCAACTTCATGTTCTTGCTGGACTGGCTGGGTGTCTTCGGCTTCAGCAGAACCACTTCCAAAGAGGTGTCGGTTCCATGGATCAATTCAGGGAGGGTTTTTGCATTGGCACGGGCCGGCTTGCACCGACAGAGGGTCAACGAATTTAAAGCCACTTTGGACTGTACATGCAGACCATTTCCACAAAGAACTCCTGGGACTAGTACTCATGATCGCCAAGAACACGTACCATTCCACAAAGAACTCCTGGTACTAGTATTCATGTTCGCCAAGAACACGACGTGCACCATTTCCACAAAGAACTCGATGGAGTTCATACATTGTGGCCGATTCTTCGACGAGCTGCAGCTAGCCTGAATGCAGTTTTTGATCAGCCAGGGGTCAAATTTTGCAGTTGCCGAATATAAAGGCGATTGGCCTTTCTTGAGGAAACTGTTCCGATTCATTCCCTCCTACACAGGACACCGTATCTTGGCGATATGCTTAACCTGTTTTCCATATGGGTGCAGTTGTGTATGGCATGTGTGTGAAAGAATTTGAGCATGTCTGCATGGTCCAGGCATGATCATGTGATCATGAGCTCGAGGTGTTTGCTACATGTGTGATGCGGGTACTCATGCTGACAGCTCTCCATTTTGGTGTCTGGATGGTGATGCTCGCAAAGTTTCCACACCAAGCTTCATCGCACGCATGCTCGATCCCAACTGCACCCCGAGTACCTTGCCTGTATACTAGCTAGGCGGTAGTCGAGCTATATATATATATATATGCGTGTATATATCTGCCACGGAACCTAGGCCCACTTATTTGCATCAAAGGCTTTTCCCCGCTCTGCATCAAGCCGTGCACGATGCACATCTGCAATCCGGGACTATTATTCACCGTTAACGGTGCAATCCTGTACCATACTCAGTACGCTTGCTAGAGCACTGGCACATATTGCGCATTGGATGCACGGTACATGCGCAATTAATGGGGTGATTGGACTGTATGCTCAGGCTGACCCTGATCAATGCTGGATACTTCAGTGGAACACCAGATCAAGTGAGTATCCAGGAGCTTTTGCGTGTGGCTTACGAGGACTTTACAGCTTGGAGGAAGTCAAAGAAGATTGCTTGCTCGCAGCGGATGTTCAAACCATCGCAGGTGGATCGTTTGGCCCACGGGGCCTATCTGGCTGCGAAGGCATGGAATTCCAGAATACTTCTCCAATGGCTTCATGAGAGCGCAGTTCAGGCTGCCACGTTGCAGAATTTCGATAGCACTGGAGGGCGCACGTTGGGGGTATGGCTGGCTGAGGAGGTTCGTGCAGGTCGCAGGGCATGGCCTACTGCAAGTGACACACCATTCTTGTTTTTGGAGCCATTGGCGTCGCATTTTGGCTGTAAAGTGTTAAGCGCACTGATCATGATTTTTGTCATGCTTCATCCCAGGCATGCATCGCTACTAGGGGCTGAAGGACGCTACTAGGGGCCCCGGGGCTCCTGGCATCGCTACTAGGGGCTGAAGGACATTACTAGGGGCTCCAGTCATCGCTACTAGGGGCTGAAGGTCGCTACTAGGGGCTCCTGGCATTGCTACTGGGGGCTGAAGGACGCTACTAGGGGCTCCTGAAGGACGCTACTAGGGGCTCCTGGCATTGCTATTAGGGCTGAAGGACGCTACTAGGGGCTCCTGGCGTCGCTTCTAGGGCCTCAAGCACGCTACTTGGGGGTCGCTACTAGGGGCTCCTGGCGTCGCTACTAGGGCCTGAAGGACGCTACTTGGTATGGGCTCATTTTCGGTGCGTGCTTTATCCTAGGCATGCACTATGCACTTGGTATGGGCTCTGCGAGCGCGCTGGACGGATCTTGCAACTTGGCTAATGTTGATCTATCGATATCGATAATGCATACAGCCGCTTTCCGATCTAGTACTGTGAGTTTTACCATGAGTGGCCATGCACATGCAGATTTGAGGACGGCTGCAGAAGCCCAAGCCATTCATGATGCGGGGCTGTCCTTTTGCAGATTGCACCTCATGCTGACAAGGCTAGCGATCAGGCAAGAGGATTCAAGTTTGTCGTTCTGCTAGGGGCTCCTGGCATCGCTACTAGGGGCTGAAGGACATTACTTGGGGCTCCAGTCAGTGCTACTAGGGGCTCAAATTCGCTACTAGGGGCTCCTGGCATTGCTACTACGGGCTGAAGGACGCTACTAGGGGCTCCTGGCATTGCTATTAGGGCTGAAGGTCGCTACTAGGGGCTCCTGGCATTGCAAATTTGTGAGTTGCGCAGGCAGCAGCGAGTGGCATGGTTGCTCAAACCGAAGCTTCACATCTACAAGCATGTCATCAAACGAACGCTGCATACCTCAGAGGGACGTCACCTCCGATCGGCGTGGGTCGACGTTGATTTCGGCACACTCTTGGCATTCTTGAGTATAGCCACGTTGCTTGATGACCTGTTTGCTTTGCCTGTTTTCGCTGAAGACATGATTACTTTTGGGCTTGGTTGTTTTTTGCCCTGTTTTGGGCGCTGTTTCGACACGTTTGCCTCAGGGTTTCAAACGGTAGATTTGGGAGCAGTGCCTCCCAAGGTTCCTTTGTGACCTGTTTTGAGGCGGTCATTTGGGGCCGTGCCTCCCATGGTGCTGTATTGACATGGTTTGGGGCGCATGTTTTTTTAAAAAATTGTTTCGGGCGCTATTGCGACTCAGGGTTTCAAACGGACCTGGTAGATTTGGGGGCAACGCCTCCCAAGGTTCTTTTTTGACCTGTTTTGAGGTGCCAAGGTTTCAAACGGACCTGGTAAATTTGGGGGCCGTGCCTCCCAAGGTTCTTTGTTAACATGGTTTGGGGCGCAAGATTCTTTTTTGCACTGTTTTAGGTGCTGCTTCGACAAGTTTGCGTCAGGGTTTCAAACGGACCTGGTAAATTTGGGGGCAGTGCCTCGCAAGGTTCTTTTTCGACCTGTTTTGAGGTGCCAAGGTTTCAAACGGAACCGGTACGTGTGGGGCCGTGCCTCCCTTGACATGGTTTGGGACGCAAGGTTCGTTTTGGACGCTGTTTCGACTCAAGCCCAAGGTGCCGTTTTGACCTGCTGAGGTGCCAAGGTTTCAAACAGACCCGGTCATTTGGGGCCGTGCCTCCCAAGGTTCTTTATCGACATGGTTTGGGGCGCAGGTATTATTTTGCACTGCGCTGTTTCGACAAGTTTGCCTAGGGCTTCCCGCACACAGGCTAGCACCCAAACCGGTCAAAAGGAAACCCTTCCACGGCCTCCCCACTCGCAGGCAAGCGCCCAAACAGGTCAAAAAGCAACCCTACACAGGTGCCCAAACCGCCCTGTCACAACCTTTGGCAATCCCGCCTGCAACCAGAAACGTGAGACAAGGGGAGACAAAGCAAAGTCATCTCGACATGCCATGGGAGACAAGGGGCAACAAAGGGAGACAAAGCAAAATCATCTCAGCCCAGCATCCGAGCATCCAGACACCCTGGGAGACAAGGGGAAGCAAAGAGAGACAAAGCCAAACAAAACAAAATCATCTCAGCCCAGCCTCCAGACACGCCGTGGGAGACAAAGGGAGAGAAGGGGAAACAAATCATCTCAGCCCAGCGTCTAGACACGCCATGAAAGACAAGGGGAGACAAGGAGAGACAAAGCAAAGCGATCCCACCCCAGCATCCAGACACGCCATGGGAGACAAGGGGAGATAAGGAGAAACAAAGCAAAGCGATCGCACGCCAGCATCCAGACACGCCATGGGAGACAAAGCCCAGGGGCATCCCGCACACTGGCTCAAACAGGTCAAAAGGAAACCCTTCCACGGCCTCTCCCCGCCCGCAGGCAACCCAAACAGGTCAAAAAGAAACCCCACAGAGGTCCCCAAAAAGCCTTGCCACGCCGCACGTGGATAGACTAGGCTAGCGCCCAAAAAGGTCAAAAGGAAACCCTTCCACGGCCTCTCCCCGCTCGCCCAAACAGGTCAAAAAGAAACCCTATACAGGTGCCCAAACAGCCCTGTCACGCCTTTCGCAAAACAATCCTGGCACCCAAAACAGGTCAAAAAGAAACCCCACAGAGGTGCCCAAATATCCTTGCCACGCCGCAAGTGGATAGACTAGGCTAGCGCCCAAACAGGTCAAAAGGAAGCCCTTCCACGGCCTCTCCCCGCTCGCAGGCAAGCACCCAAACAGGTCAAAAAGCAACCCTACACAGGTGCCCAAACCGCCCTGTCACGGCCTTTCGCAAAACATTCCTGGCACCCAAAACAGGTCAAAAAGAAACCCCACAGAGGTGCCCAAATATCCTTGCCACGCCGCAAGTGGATAGACCCTTCCACGGCCTCTCCCCGCTCGCAAGCAACCCAAACAGGTCAAAAAGAAACCCTACACAGGTACCCAAACAGCCCTGTCACGGCTTTTAACAAACCCGCCGCCCAAACAGCACGGCACCCAAGCAGATCAAAAAGAAACCCTACACAGGTACCCAAACAGCCCTGTCACGGCCTTTAGCAAACCCGCCGCCCTGGCGCACACAGGCTCGCGCCCAAACAGGTCGCAGGCAAGAGCCCAAACAGGTCAAAAACAAACCCGCCCAAATAGCCTTGCCACGCCGCAAGTCGATAGACTAGGCTAGCGCCCAAGCGGGTCAAAAGAAGCCCTTCCACGGCCTCTCCCCGCTCGCAAGCAACCCAAACAGGTCAAAAAGAAACCCTACACAGGTACCCAAACAGCCCTGTCATGGCTTTTAGCAAGCC